CAAGACAGTTCCCTTCAGTGATACATTAATATAACCCCAGAAATGTAATGCATTTTTGTACTTATTTTACTGTTATTTTCGGGATCTACAAGGACAGTGATAAAGATCTACCAGTCGATCGACGGGTTGGCGACCACTGCATTACAGAAAGCTAGACCTGATACAATGAACCCAGCAGTTTCCTTGCTTTGCCTCCATTAAGGGGATCGATGCACAGAGGACAAAGTGGAGGAATTCTGTGGACTCTGTCACCTAGTTAATTTTAATGATGTGACATTAAAATTAATTTTTTTTGTGATGGGTTAAATGAACCCATTTGATCATGGCTTCCAGTGGGAGAGATGCACTTGTCCCTCGTGAAATACATGGACCATGCCCTTCTGCTGAGTGATTCCTCATTATTGTGGGGACTATGGGTGAGGAACCCCACAATTCTCCAGTACCTACCATGGCAGAGCCTTCAGCCATCATGTCTGATACACCAAAGTCTCATCACGTCATGGCTGCTACACTGGAGTTTTTCCATGCCCGAACCGTCATGTCAGGATTTATTCACACCACGACCACCAGAGTCTACAGAGCCCATTCACGTTATGCCTTCCAAGCCAGAGCCTGTTCACGTCTTAGCCACCATTCCTGAGTCATCAGCCAAGATGGCTGCCACACCAGAGCCTCGCTACGCCATGCCAGAGCCTCGTCACGCCACAGCCGCCACGCCAGAGCCTTGTCATGCCAGAGCCTCGTCACGCCACAGCCACCACGCCAGAGCCTCGTCACGCCACACCAGTCTCGTCACGCCACGCCAGAGCCTTGTCACGCCAGAGTCTCGTCACGCCACAGCCACCACGCCAGAGCCTCGTCACGCCACACCAGAGTCTCGTCACGTCACGCCACGCCAGAGCCTTGTCATGCCAGAGTCTCGTCACGCCACAGCCGCCACGCCAGAGCCTTGTCATGCCACAGTCGCCACGCCAGAGCCTCATCACGCCACACCAGAGTCTCGTCATGCCACACCAGAGTCTCGTCACGCCACGCCAGAGCCTTGTCACGCCATGCCAGAGCCTCGTCATGCCACAGCCGCCACGCCAGAGCCTTGTCACGCCACAGCCACCACGTCAGAGCCTTGTCACGCCATGCCAGAGCCTCGTCACGCCATGCCAGAGTCTCATCACGCCACAGCCACCATGCCAGAGCCTTGTCACGCCACGCCAGAGCCTCAACATGCCACAGCCGCCACGCCAGAGTCTTGTCACTCCACGACAGAGCCTCATCACGCCACGCCAGAGCCTCGTCACACCACAGCCACCACGCCAGAGCCTCGTAACGCCATGCCAGAGTCTCGTCACATTACAGCCGCCACACCAGAGTCTCTTCACGCCACTGGCGCCACACCAGAGCCTCGTCACGCCACAGCCACCACGCCAGAGCCTCATCACGCCACAGCCACCACGCCAGAGCCTCGTCACGCCACGCCACTGGCGCCACACCAGAGCCTAGTCACGCCACAGTTGCCACGCCAGAGTCTCATCACGCCACGGCCGCCACGCCAGAGCCTCGTCATGTCATGGCTGCCACGCCAGAGCCTCCAGCCAACAGGGATGCCACGCCAGAGACTCCAGCAGTCATGGATGACATACTAGAGTCTTCAGACATCATGGACACCACTCCAGTGTTTCCAGGTGTCATGAACGTCGCATCGGAGGCTACAAAGGCGATTCCTAGGCGTTTGTGACTGGCTTCCAGTTTGAAGGACACGCCGCTTACGTCGGTGCGAGCTGCTGGTGTTTCTGCGGTGGTACGAGGTCTGAGTGTCTCCGAGTCACTGTCAGTCGCACTCCCTGTTATGGCAATGGCCATTTTGTGTGTTTGGGCTGCACACTACTCTCTAGTCCATGTGTCCACTCCAGAGTCCGCGAATCCGCTCCAGAGCCTGCTTAAGCCCCAGAAATCAGTCCTGTTATAGGCGCTAGCCAGTGAGTTTCCTGCCTGTCCTGTTTTGACCACAGTGGTCACATGTAAACCCTCTGCCAGTCATGTCACAGACATGGAAGCCATCTCTGAACTCACAGTCTGCCCTATCATGGCCAAGGAGGCCATCTCTGAGCTGTCAGCCTGTTCTGTCAAGGCCAGGTGGTCCATCCATGTCTCTGCTTCCCCAAGGCCTTCTGACCTGTGGTGGTCTTCCGCTCCACCGGCTTCACCTTGGTTGCCTGCTCCATGGTGGTCTCCAGCACCATCTGATCTGCCATGGTGGTCTTCTATCTCATCTGCTCTGTTGTGGTGGTCATCTGCTATGCCGTGGGCATCTTTGGTCCTGTCTGCTCCACCCTGGTGGTCTTCAGCCCCATCAGCTCCACCAGTGCTCCACAGCCCAGGCCTGCCACTTCACCATAGTCCATGGTCTCCGTCACTGCTCCACGGCCCAGGCCCACCTTTTAGTCTAGTTTCCTGGTTTGCCATGTGATTCCCTGTGCCCTCATGTGTTCCTGCCATGTGCTACCCTTGTCCATGTGTCTTGTTCTCATTGGTTATTTTTATCATGTGGTTTTCTGTTTTATCAATGTTTTCTCATTGGTTTATTGTATTTATTGTTCACAGGAGTGTCATGCGACCCCATTGTTTGATATATGTAGCCCTCATGTTTCTTTGTCCATTGTCTAGCTTTGTTCATGTTACCATTGTTGGTGAGTTTATGTCCATGTTTAAGTCCATGCCAAGTCTAGTCTCTGTTCATCTTGCATTTGTTTATGTTTTGGATTTAATTAAAACTGCACATGGGTTCTACTTCAACATGCCTCAGTGGATTCATTACACAGGGTGTGTACAGGAATTCTATTGTGAGGCAAAATTCAAATATTTTTTAAATGTCATGTCTCCATTAGTGTCTGCATATAGCAGTGGTTAGAAAACAGTGTAAAAGTAGTACAGAGCAGTAAGAGCTGAAGCACTTTTCTAACTAATAAACTAAACCAATCAAATCATCCAAGGTCTCTTATTCTTCCTCTTAGTTACAGGTCAGTACTGAGGAAAAAGTGTTCATGTGAAGTCATCTGGGCACAGACTGGGCTTGTCCTTGATTTTGTTCTTTCGACAGTTCCATGGAAGTGCAAAACAAATGCACGTTTGAAAGAGACTGATAACGGAAATTCTCTTAGGAAGAGGTATTACAGATGTGTGTTTCTGTGTGCTTGCCAAGAAACCCTAAAGGCTAAATATCACCCATTTTAAACCCATATTTTCTTTCCTTGACATTTAACATTTCAATGTTCATACACAATAAAACAATAAATGAATAAATAATTGCTTGCCTTAAAAATGTCAAAAGATATTGCTTTAAAAAAAGGTCAAAGGACAAAAAAAAAAAAAAGTCAAATGTGATGCAAAAAAAGTAAAAAATAAAATAAAATAAAAAAGTTAAATGTGATGCATTTACCTGGATTTCATTTGACTCAATAGTGAAAAGAATAGACAAACATAGTTAACTTTTTTAAATAACACACAAACTAGGATACATGTTCATATTTTTATTGAACACACTGTGTAAACCGTCACTGTGCAGGATGGAAAAAAATCTGTGAACCCTGCATTTAATAATATAGTGAATATTTATTCATATTATTATTATTATTTAATCATAATTTAGGCAAACACATCTGCCTGTCCTGTTTTGACCACAGTGGTCTCCGCCAAATGTTTCCTGTAACTGTGGATCAGACAAGCTTTCAGGGCAGGAGCTTTGAACAATTCCTTTTCGCTAAACTCTTTCAGCTAGGTAAAATATCAGATGTCTTTCTGCTGTGAATCGCTCTCTTGAGGTTGTGCCAAAGCATCTCAGTCAAACTGAGGTCAGAACGGGACATTCCAGAATGCGTAATTTCCTGGCATTCTGTTGTTATGTGGTTTAAGTCATTGTCTTTTTCAATATTCTGCAGCCTATCCCAATAAACTTCTGTTTATCTGTCATGATAGAAAGCTGTCCAGGCCCTGAGGCAGCAACCATGCCCAAAACCTACTTTACAGCTAGGATGTGGCTTTGATGTTGGTGTTCTGTGCCTTTTCCCTCCACACGTGGTGTTGTGTGTTTACATAGTGCTTAATTCACCATAGACACTTCAACAGAGATGTTAACATTCTCCAGGGGTTTCTGTGAATCAGCTGACACTTAAACTTTTTGTTATAGCGCATTATAGGGCTCAGCGCTACACTGTGAATCTTGTCTCAGTGACAAGGATCCATGTTTTTGTTGAGGTCACTAGCTTAGAGATTCAAATGTTTTCCACCCTGCACTGTGAATATTTCCAAAATGAGTTCAAAAACGACATGAAAATGTGTTTGTTGGTGTCTGTGACTGTTTATTTATCTATTGTGCTGTAATTTTTTTAATTTAAGACCAATTTATGCAGAAATCCAGACAAATCCTGCCATTCTCTAAGCAACTAAAACAAAGTGAAAACAGCAAGGTACTTAAAATAAGACCTCGCGTAATTTTCTTCACATGTAAAAACTCAGGTCGGGTCTGGGATTTCCCCTCTTCAATATATAATAATCATAGCCAACTGTGTGGAAGATCACAAGCCATTATTTGAACATTATATCCACAGGACCAGGAACCAATACTAATCTCGCCATGCAGAGTCCTTTAAAAGCACCTCAAAAAGAATAAACTCCTCACATCTTGATTTTCCAAGGTTTACATAGATGAGGACTGAAGTACAATAAGTAATCAGTCTGGGGTTGCCATATCTGAGGCTGTAGACAAAATATCAGGGGCTGAGACTAGAGATACTGTAACTGTTTTAACATACAACGTACAACGTACAACACAAGTTGCCCTGTGACATATGCAAGTCTCAAGTGGCATGAAATAATTACATATTTGTGTGTGTCTGTGTGTCTTTGACAAAACCAGTGAGAAAGAGAGGGATACGTGAGTGTACACGAGCAAACAAAATATGTGAGCATGAGAAAAGAAGAGGACTTGAGCGTGCTTGGGTGTGTACCTTCAGGTAGTCTTTTCTCAGGTGCTTGTTTCTCCTCCGATCCTCATTCTGGTTGAGCACAGGAGGAACCTCTGGCCATCTTGGCTCTGAGTCACTGCTCTCTGATTTCAAACTTCCATCAAATGAGCAAGAGGAAGAAGCCTGAGGGACAAATCACAACATTACGGTGAATCACAGGGCTCAAAATGGATTTAACGGGGCTTTAAATTAAAAGGTAGATTACTCTGTGGAGTTGTAAACAAACAAGTTATGTTACATTCATTCTCAAGGTCTAACATGTGGAAAGCATTTCCTTCCACATTAATGGTAAATGAACAATGACACATGACACACGAATGAACAAATGCATGGAAGCATCAGTAAAAATGCACTACAAACCAGTTAGCAATGATTTGTTTTCCAGCAAAAGTGTGCTTATGAATTAATGGAGTTACATTTTAGTTGTTTTACTTTGTAATTTGTCAAGAAAAAAGGTGAACAAAATGTTGTGAACAAAACATTTTGTAATGAAAAATATGCACTACCATTCAAATGTGTGTGGCTGGTAAGATTTGTTTTTTATGTTTTTGAAAGAAAGTCTCTTATGTTCACCAAGGCTGCATTTATATGATGAAATACAGTAAAAATTAGATTTTTTCCTGTGATGGGAAAAGCTGTATTTTCAGCAGCATTACTCCAGTCTTCAGTGTCACATGATCCTTCAGAAATCATTCTAATATGCTTATTTGCTCCTCAAGAAAAATGTACTATTATTACTATTAAAGTTGAAAACAGTGCTGTTTAATATTTTTGAAGCTATGATGATTCTATCTTTACTGTTTTTACTGTCACTTTTAATCAATTTAATGCATCTTTGCTAAATACAAATATTAATTTCTTTCAAAAAAAAAAATCTTATCAACACTAACTTTTGAGTGGTGGTGTAAGAATTGGTTGAGCTGGTGAAAATGTTGTGAGTGAGTAAAAATACAACTAGAATATTGGATTTTGGAAGCTTTACTGTAAGGATAGAAATAAATGAGGAGGAGGACTGTGATGAACTGAAGAGTGACCTCAGAGAAAGCTGCATCTTCATCAGTGAGATCAGTCTCCTTAAAAAACACACACACACACACACACACACACAAACACAGAGAGAGGGAGAATGGAATTCACAAACACAATGATAAAGCAGACCCAGATCAAATCTGTAAAACATCTGCTGGTACCCACTGACTTTTCAAAATGTCTTGTGTTCAGCAGAAGAAATGTATTTAGTTTTGGGAACAACTTGAGGGTGAGTAAATGATAACAATTATGATAAAAAAAATAAATTATTGGGTGAACTTTCCCTTTAAAGTTGGCATAAAACAAAGTTGCATTTGTTTCACAACAGGGAAAGCCTCTTCTCGGGTTGTGATGTATATCAGAGGTTGCTGGAAGGAAGAGTTTATTTTCCCGACCTCAGGTCAGTGAACACATCATCAGAGAAGAGAAGAGATGTCGTTGCAAGGGTGAGGGGAAGATATTTTGATTAAGGATTACAAGGGAACGAGTTTAAAAAAATGATGATGTATGATGCAAGTTCAAATTCTGGGTGCAGACTTCATGTGGTTTTAGTGATGTGTAAACAAATTAGACAACAGCCAACACACTGATAAATGGACAAAAGAAACAAAAGTTTAAAACAAAAGTTTAAAGTAATTTTGAAAAAGTCTGCCCTGAGCGCTATTATCAACAAAAGCTTAAACAAAGAAGCCTATCCCACAACCCACAAATAAACCAGTCGTAATAAAACCATATTGTAATAATTCATTAATTCACAGTTAATAATTATTTTCAATGTAAATCCTGCCTGCATTTCTTATCAGGTGTGGGAAGATACAATGCAGGCATGTTTATGGCTTTGTGTGCAACTGTGCATGGCACATATATATTGGTACCTGTCCACTCAAGGCGGAGGCTGAGCTGCTTCCTTCATCTAGCGATGCACTGTAAAGAAAAACAGAAACACTGCAGACATGCACCTCCAAAACATACAAATGGGGGCTTATGGGTGACTGCACTAAGATAATAACGTGTGCTTATGTGTACAGATATGGGCATGTGTGTGCACGTTTAAGTGTATAAGGCCTGATGTGTTATCAGTTTGGTAATCTGACCATGGAGGACGAGAGTGCTGAAAGGCTTTATACTATTTCTTTCACTGTGCACAACGCATGTGGCCAAGCGCACATGAATGAAGACAGATTGTTGAAAAACAAATTGACAGATCGTAATTTCAGAAGGTTAATGGTTTACATTAACCTTAAAGGGTTTGCTGTAGCGTCAATTTTGTAGCCAGTGAGAGGCATGTCTGGAGCTGTAACTCTAAGGGTGAGATTGCTTTCTGCAGACAATGGTCGGCCTGTAATAACGTGTGCTTATGTGTACAGATATGGGCATGTGTGTGCACGTTTAAGTGTATAAGGCCTGATGTGTTATCAGTTTGGTAATCTGACCATGGAGGACGAGAGTGCTGAAAGGCTTTATACCATTTCTTTCACTGTGCACAACGCATGTGGCCAAGCGCACATGAATGAAGACAGATTGTTGAAAAACAAATTGACAGATCGTAATTCCAGCAGGCTAATGGGTTACATTAACCTTAAAGGGTTTGCTGTAGCGTCAATTCTGTAGCCAGTGAGAGGCATGTCTGGAGCTGTAACTCTAAGGGTGAGATTGCTTTCTGCAGACAATGGTCGGCCTGTCGAAGATACAATCAAGGGGTGAGAACCAGAAGGGCGTAAGTGACATTTTTGGTGAAATGGAGATATATATATTATCAAATGAAAGCTCTTAATTCCCAAAATCAAAAACACAGGGAAAAACCTTCAACAACGACATTCACACATGAAGCACCAATGTAGAGAGTTTTCAGCAGGCATTATTCCAGTCTTCAATGTCACATGATCCTTCAGAAATCTGATTTGCTGCTCAAGACATTTATTTTTTTATATTATCAATGTTGAAAACAGTCAGTGGTGTATTGTGTGGTATTGTGAGATGGTAATAAATGACCTCTTGCAGACCAAGGGTAAGAGACATATTGACTTTGAATAAACATCTCATTTGATATATTTTGTCTTCCTCTTTCTGATCTTGTTTAATTTATTGCCATTTCAATTGAGAAAATAAAGAAATTGCTGTCTAAAATTCTGCTTTGCACCGGTGAGACGTGTTTTTCTTGATTAGCTTACTATTAGCCAATGGTTAAGTTTTAGATCATGTCACTTAAGCCTTTCTGGTTCTCACCCCTCGCAATGTGCCTTGCAGTATCTTAATTTTATTTCTAATTTCTAACAGTCAATTTTAACACACCAAAGAATTAACAAATCATTTGACTTTACCAAAACTATGTATACAAATTCATTATCAAATGCCATGTTCCCAAAATCAAAAACACAGGGAAAAACCTTCAACAACGACATTCACACATGAAGCACCAATGTACAGAGTTTTCAGCAGGCATTATTCCAGTCTTCAATGTCACATGATCCTTCAGAAATCTGATTTGCTGCTCAAGACATTTATTTTTTTATATTATCAATGTTGAAAACAGTCAGTGGTGTATTGTGTGGTATTGTGAGATGGTAATAAATGACCTCTTGCAGACCAAGGGTAAGAGACATATTGACTTTGAATAAACATCTCATTTGATATATTTTGTCTTCCTCTTTCTGATCTTGTTTAATTTATTGCCATTTCAATTGAGAAAATAAAGAAATTGCTGTCTAAAATTCTGCTTTGCACCGGTGAGACGTGTTTTTCTTGATTAGCTTACTATTAGCCAATGGTTAAGTTTTAGATCGGAGGTGATGTGGGTTGACAATCAACTGCAAAATGTGCTATTACTTTTGCAGAAGCCATTTCTAAACAGTTTCTGGCACATTAGCACGAGCAACTGATGCCCTGGTGCACCGGTTCAGTCATAGTGTGCATCTCTAAAGGCCGTGACACACTGAGCCATTAGTCAGCCATCTGCCAATGCTGGGCCATCGTTAAGCATCTGTTATCTCAGTTTTTGCAGTATATTAATTCCACACCATCAGCAATAGTCAGACCCTGTCTGTGGCTTCTTGGCCGATTGAGCATGTTCAATCAACATTGGTTTGGTGTGCCACGGCCTTAATGCAGACCTCAAGATTCAGAGTGCAGTTCTGAATAAAACAAAAACAAACAAACTTAAAGTTATTCCAAGGATCACATCTGAAAATATTGTAGTTACTAGATGACAGAAGAAGACATGCACAATAATTCCACAAGTTTGGGAAAAATGTAAGTATTAAAAGTATATACCTGTCTCTACCTGTTCAACTGTCAAAATAAAAACCTTCTCCACCCTGTCATCTCCTCCCAGTCTTTTTATTTTATAAAACAAAAAGGGAGTTCCCACAATCAACAAAGATATCTCAGAGATTAAACTCCTGATCATTCTCCACCCTACAAATGCTCACGGTTTAAAACAAATATGCAAAGTTTTTATGCAGAGTTTGTTTTTATGAATACTGAATAGTGTAATAACCCTTTAAAATCAATAGCATTCATAAGCACATTACACATAAGGACAACACCTTGCAATAAGACTGAAGTTGGTAACATTAACATTAATGCAATGAACAAACGGTTTGTATTATTTTATTACGAATATTTAATTTAATTTCTTTTATTATTTCAGGTGGATGTTTCTATATATACATATGTTACATTTTAAGTATAAATTAAAATGAGTGCAATATGAATAAACATGAATTAACAATGAACAACAGCATATTTATCAACTGATATTTACTTGCATTAAAAAATGCTGTAAAAAGTTTCATGTTACTGTAAAGTGTTGACATCAGGTGAACTAACAATATTTCTTACAGCATTTATTAATCTTGGTTAATGTTATCCGTTTCTACTAATGTTCATTTCAACCTAATTTCTTACGTTTTTAACATTAAAGGTTAGTTTATGTATTATGGACTAAAATTAAGTAGCAGTGAAAAAATATTTATAAATGTTGTTCAGTGTTAGTTTACGATAACTTTTCAATAGGAAGAATCGCCGATAACTCCGCCTTGTCTAGAAAACGACATTTTACAACCAAACACATGTGAGAATTGATATGGGAAATAACGCAAGATCACACAAGAGACAGGCATTCTTGTCCAAGAATGGATTAATTCCTGTCAAAAACAGTAGCCTGTGAAAAGCTTGCAATCCAGGTTGTCTGTACTGATTTGCACTGAAAAATAACATTTAAACAAAGAAGAATATGAAGGAGAAAATGGTTGCTTGCTGATGCTCTGTTGCACATCTATTAACTTTCTATTGCCCTGTATCATACTCTGTCATTGTCTGTAGGTTGTTGCTGATGTCGTTTCCAGTCAAAACACATTCCATATGGCAGGACTGTGAATCGCAGACAGGTCCGGATATTTAGCATGTCAAATATCTCACAGGCGTCAGCAACATATCGGCGCTTCTCTCAGATTGTGTCTTTGATAACACACACTACACTATTGTCACACACATGAACGAGCACGTGCCTCCGATTTCAGGCATTAGTCTGTGATTTCCACAAAACTGACGCGGAGTGAAAATTGGGGCTAAAATCGTAGTGTGTGCCTGGCATTAGTTAAAATCATGTTTCGGGGTGGGTCGGGGGGATGTGGTTGGTTCCCAATGGAAGCTTATTGTAAAGTTTAAAAAAGATATGAAGTGTTATGCCATTTCTATACACTTAACCAATCATCTTTTAGGAAATACATAACATAATGAAGGTGGTTATTTTTAAATAAAGCAAACTATTACAAGAAATAGGAATGTGCGTGGAGGTGTTTGTGTATGCATCATAATACCTTCTAACAGCCTGAGATGGGGTTCTTTGTTTGGTGCTACTCCCTGAGTGGCTGAAAAACCTGAAAGATCGGAAAATCCATTATGTCTTTGAATATAGTCTTTGTTTGACATGCATCTGTGGTGCTTAAATGTATCTTTGCAAAATGCTTGACAGTAAAGCTGCTGGAATAAATATGAAATCTGATCTGAAACCATATGAGAATGCACCTTGAATTTTTAATTATGAAACATTTTATAGCTTGCGCAATGACTATGCATACAGTCAGTGGTAAAGATGGGGTTTGAAAAACAAACTGAATTTGTGTGCAACAATTTGCTAGGAAAGAGCTGCTTCTGAGCATTCTGAAGTCATGACGTGTGCCCAGTGACCTGTAAAGCAACTTGGCTTAGAATTCAAAACAATCCTCCAAAACAGTTTTTTTTTTTACATGTGAACCGAACCAACAAATTCAAAAGAAAGGTGTCCTGCACATTTGCACGTCTACAATTTTGGCCAAAAGGTTATGTGGGAAACTATTTTGAAATATTTACGCATGCAACACACTGTTATCAGCATTTCTTTTTGAAAATTGATTCAAAATTGCAACACCCTTGAAATTACAACACTTGACTTCTTGACATCATTAAACCTGGACATGCACATACTTTCTACTACACAACACGCACATAAACACACATGACCAGATGTACTAGGTGTGTGCTATACACCCTCTTCTAATTACACACATCCATCATTTGAAATAAACACACACATGTAAACACACACATCTCTCCTTCTATTTTCGATCTCTCCCCGCGGCTCTTCTACGGTGTATTAGACCCTCTGCCCTACAAATTAGGGATCGCCTCCTGAGAGTCAAATGTCACGTGTGCACCAATCAGATCCCAGGATTAGGTGGAGATGCAAGAAGTGATGGAGAAGGAGATGGAAGGAGAAAGAGGAGGAGGAATATGGTGATTAATTTGTTAGTAAGCAGAGAGGGTCTGATCCCATTCATTCAAAACACCTGACAGTAGTCCTCTCATGCAGAAGCAGCAGACTGCATGGATGAGCGTATCGAAAAGGAACTGACAAAACTTGTTTTCATTTGTGAATCTCTCATAGACGTACAGTGCCTATTTTTCACATTTTGTTATGTTGCAGCCTTATGTTAAACTGCTATAAATAACTTTTTTCCCACATAGATCTACACTCCACACACCATAATGACAAAGCAAAAAAGAGATTTGTAACAACTTTGCAAATTTATTAGAAATAAAAAACTGAAATGATTCCATTGCATATATATTTCTGGGACAGTTGAAATTTAGCTCAGGAGCATTCATATCGCTTGTAGATGTTACAACACTTCGAGTGGAGTTAACCTGTGGCAAATTAATTTGAATGGATATGATTTGGAAAAGCACACACCTCTCAATAAAAGGTCTAACAGCTGAAAATGCACATTAGAGTAAAAACCAAGCCCTGAGGTCAAAAGAACTGCCTGTAGAGCTCAGAGACAGGACTGCATCAAGCCACACATCTGGGGAAGGGTTCAGAAAAAATTCTACTGCATTGAAGGTTCACAGAAGCATGTAGTCTCCATTACTCTTAATGGAAGAAGTTTAAAACAACCAGGACTCATTCTAGAGCTGGCCTCCTGGTCAAACTGAGCAATCGATGGAGGAGGACCTTGGTTATACTGGTGACCAAGAACCTGATGGCCACTCTAGTTGAGCTCTATGATCATATGTGGAGATAGGAGAAACCTATAGAAGGACAAACATCACTGCAACACTCCACCAATCCGGTCTTTACGGTGGTGTGGCCAAACTCAATCCTCCCTTCAGTGAAGACACATGAAAACACACTTGGAATTTGCAACAAATCGCCCAAAGGACTCTCAGATTGTGAGAAACAAGATACTCTGGTCTGATGAACTGCAATTCCAAGCATCATGTATGGAGGAAGCCAGGCACTGCTAATCACCTGCACAGTAGCATCCCAAAATTAAAGTGTGCTGGTAGCAGCCTCATGCTGAGGGGCTGTTTTTCAGAGGCAGGGACTGAGGGACTCGTCAGAGTAGAAGGAAAGCTCAATGCACCAAAATATAGAGATAGCCTTAATGAAAACCTAGTCCAGAGCATTCAGAAACTCAGACTGGACAGAAGGTTCACCTTCCAACAGGACAATGACCCTAAACACACAGCAAGAGTGGCAGAGTTTGACAACTATGTGAATGTCCTTGAGTGGCCCAGCCACAGCCTGAGCTTTAACCCAATCAAACATTTCTGGAGAAGCCTGACAGAGCTTGAGAGGTGAAGAGGAGAGGACAAGAATGGCAGATAATTGCCAAATGCTGATGAGCAAAGCTTGTCGCATCATACCAAAAAGACTTGAGACTGTAAAGGTGCTTCAACTAAGTACTGCGTTAAGGGTATGAATACTTATGCAACGTACTTACAGTTTTTGAATTTTAATAAATTTGCAAAGTTGTCACAAATCTGTTTTTCTGTTGTAGAAAAAAAAGTTATTTAAAGCAGTTTAACATAAGGCTGCGACATAAAAAAAACAATGGGTATGAATACTTTTTACAGCCACTGTAACTTATAATGAAAAAACTTATAACGAGAGTCAGCTGAGGTATCAGAATAAGGCCCAAGTGAAAGAAAGACTTTTTCTTTCCAAGTGAAAAAGTGAGTGCAGAAGAGAGGAGTAGCATTTATAAAATATATATTTATATTATATAGGGCCGTCAATTTACTGTGTTAATATAGTTTAATTAATTTTGATAATAAAAATTATAAAAGCACACAAACTTACAATGCTAGCTACCGGGCCTTCAAGGAAAATGGTGCATAACTCTTCCCCCACCATTGACGAGTTATCTCGTCTTTTAGAAGACAACGCTTCCCCGCCAAAGACGAGTTTTTACGGCTTTTCGTGTTTTCACTGTTATACACTAGGGGGCGCTATTACACATCTTCTGAACGAGTACAAAACCTCCTGAACAAAAACACACGTGAACAGGACGGAGAAACGAGCGACCTCTTATGTAAACAGATGCATATGAAAAATAATGCGATCATCAGCAATGGCAGCATATAAATGAAAACTGCATAATGTTACGGAGTAAAATGTTGATCCAGGAAGTGGTATATGTCTGTGCAAGCTTTGGAGGTGTTGATAGAAGCGATTTACTGGATTTATGCTTTGATAATCGTACTGAATATTACCCAGATGTGGTTTTTGATAAAAATGTGATTTTCTCACCTTTTTGCTCAAAATTATGCATTTTTATGAAACCTACGTATATTCAAGTGTTGATAAAAAAAGAATGCTTTAAGCTAGAATAAAATTAATTGTTTTTGTTTAAAAGTAGAGGCTCTGGTCTTTATTTTGGTGTATTGCATATTCAAATATTCATACAGCAAAATATTCTGGAGGCCATCAAATTTTTGTGAAAATCATCAAAATTGCTGGCGGTGGCTGGCAACTTAAAAAAAAAAAAATGCTTAAACTTAAGAAAAAAATGCTGGCGGGGAAAGAGTTAACATTAAAATGCGGTCATCATTTACTCAACCTCATGTCAGTTCAAAATCATAAGACTCTGGTTAATCTTCCAAGTTTTGGTTACCTGGACTTTCAATAGAGGGACAGAAACTCGCAGCATGGCCATACCAGACATTGTCTTACTATTGGGAGATGATAGGGTCTGTATTACTTACTAATGGAGAAAGCGTAATGTCAACTTGGATCACGTGTGCCTTAATAACCAATCACATTACAGCCTTGACCTCACTGAATTTCAGTCAATCGCTGTTTACAGATACCATAGGAATAAATGAGAATTGCCGTAAGCTGTATCCTACCCATCGCAAAAAGTCTGTGATTTCTCTTATAAAACATCTTTTTATTCCTGTGTAAACTCTAAAGTGGAAGCATTAGCCGTTACGCTTTTTTGGCTAAAGATTGCAGGCTTGCCTTCTAGTGGCTTTGGCCATACCCACCACTGAGGTCCCCGAGGTCTGGTCCGCTGTATTTTTTCCAAAATATAATAATAGTTGTAAAATAATTGGCTATTACCACCTCTGCTTTGGTGCTGCAAAGATATTGCACAACACTAAGGTTACTGACTTTCTCATGAACTATAATAAAGTTTGAGATGACCAATCAAATCAAAGTAGGTGGGCTTTACGGTTCACAGAGGCTGCTGAGCACAAATTCCATTCATTTGTCGGTCATAAAGTGAAATATTATTTGTAAGTAGCTAAACTGAATATTTCATATTTGACAGTGGTTTTATAATAGAAAAACAGTTAAACGATCAACAGAAATAACCAGCGATGCAAACTAATAAAATTTTGTTTAATTTTGCCATGTCAAACTAAAATTTACATGATTCATGTAAATTATCAATGTGACGAGACATAAAACAGTAAGGCATAAGATTAATTATGAACATACTGTGAATTAATTTAATAAACTATTTAATAAACCTATTTTTCTTGGTAGCCTTCAGTTAATTAACCTTGTGACCTTATGTTTACTTCCTTAACTTACACAGACGAAAAAGACTGATGATATTTCACAAGTATGTCTGTGTTCGCACGTTCCATACAGATTGACAGTCTAAAAAGCGGTGCAACTTGCATTGCTAAACAAGTAGGTCACAATAAGTGACTGTCTTTTTGAGTGAGCCAATGACTGAACAATTAGTTCAAATTTACGTATTGATTCCAGGAAAGAAATAAGTTGCTGAAACTATTTGATCTTTGATGCTCATACAAATTACTCATATAAACCACATTTTGCTTATGTTTATTTACTTCCAAACTGATGCACAAGGATGAAATAAAGAATATTATTTTACTAAATTCTTTACTACTTTTCTACTAACTCATTCATTTCTTATTTAAAACCATTCCTGTTCCTCCTCTTATGAATAATCCATTGAAACACTTCACCTGATTCTTATGTTTCTTATGAATCACCTTAACAAATAAATTATGCTACTTGTCCACTGTCATGCTTTTAAAGCTACTGTATTGCAGTTTTTTTGGGCCTTCAGACATACTAAAATGCATATCTGTAGATCAGAGAAATCAACATTTTTCCATTAAGACATGTGCCCAAACCCCCCTAACAAGCTCAATTTTGGGACCTCAGTATATTTATGAAACACTGCGTACAGCCCTGACTCACACGTTTCATTAAAAATATCTTAATTTGTGTTTCGAAGACTAACCAATGTCTAATGGGTTTGGAACATCATGAGGGTGAGTAAATGATGAGAGAATTTTCACTTTTGGGTGAACTATCCCTTCAAGCCCTGACTGCTTTTAGTAAAGCCCTGAATGTTTTTTGTTACCTTGTCTCTTTTTAAGTTTTCATGTCAGGTAATTTTTTGTCTCAACTTATTCAGAGCTGCAATTTGAACACATAAAATCTTCTGTAAACTAGTATATAATATTACATGAAGTATATAATATTCCATTATTTAATCAATGTATGATGCCCTGAATATCCAATAACCCTAGAACAACCCCATTATATAAACAAATTTTTAGACCATATAGCCAATTCAAAGACTTGTGGCAAGCAAGTAAAACACTTGCTTTTTTGTACTTTTGGGTGCTCATTACGTATGCAGTTATTTGCTATCAATTTTATTAATGACATCTTTTAATCGATAGACAGCCCTTAAATTACGACAGGGAGTCTGATGGAGATACTGTCTACGTGTTTGATGGACTCTGCAGGTCGCATGACCATGTGTGATTTAGCATGAAAGATCACCTGTTCTGTTGCTCTTGTTGTAGCAGCTGTACTGCGATCTTCCTCAGATCCAACACTTCCTTTAAGTCATCCTCATCTTCTTCAGCTAACTGCTCTTTCTCGGAGCTGAAGTAGCCAAGAGAGAGAGACAGACAAAAAAGAAAGAGACAAAAGGATGTTGTTGCTGAATTCTTAAACACAACTTAGTCAATCAGTCAAATTCTTACATCATGTTACTTGCACAATTAAGATGCTATTATAAAATTTCAGTCATCAGTGAAGGTCTGAGTCCATGTGAAGTTAAAGGAATTCATAGAAGAACAGACTGTTTAGAAATATCATAACAGAAGGGAATGTGGCTATGAATTCATGCATTCATTTGTTTAATTTATTTATCTTGGACCATTATCGGATTTACTAATGGCTAGCAGTCTTGTAGTGGCTGCCTTCAGGCACATATGTTAGCGTGATACAGGGAGTGATGGTACAGGACCTTAATGAAGCCTTTGAGCAGATATGGCATGTGCATTTTACTGTAAACATTGGTGTCTCGATAGGATATTTTTCTATTTTCTACCATTGGTTAATGGTTTCCCACCTCCATTTTATGGGTGGAGGAACCTTTTCATGAGTATCTGACCAGAGGAAGGTCAGTTGGGGCCCCATTAAGGCATTTGAGGCCTAGCATTGCTAACTCCTTTGGCAGCCCCTGCATCTCTCTCAGATGTATTGGCATTGCTTCTCCTCTGGGCAAGAGGGACCCAGACCAAATGGTAATTAGAATGGGGGAGTTCTCCCGTTTTCATGCGTTACTTTATCATGGCTTTGGCAGCAGAGCATGTTTGGTCATCATTCCTGGAACATATTGTCACCCAGCCATCTGTACACCACTACAACTTCAAAGTGAGACAAATCAAAAACACATCTCATTTCAATTAACTGTGAAAAAAATCTCTAAAGGCTGGAACACATTACACAACTTTTGCCCATATTTTCTTTAAAATACAAATTGTTTTCATTTGTCACACATCTCCAAGCAACAAGGCATGTTTCTGCATTAGTTTGTTGCGTTCGTAATGACTTGGAAGTTTGATAATGCGTGATCCTCAGTCATTTAGTGTATGATGCCCAGTTTTTGTCTGTTACAGGATGCCTATTGTTTTAAAATCTGTTCAGATTTTTTAATTATGTAGCGTATTCCAGCCTTAACAAAGGTTTTATAAAATAAACAAAAACTGGCAAAAAAAAAAAACATGATTTGAAGAACGTCTAATATATGAAATGTGTATCAAGAGCACTCTTGACAATCAAAACAATGACTCGAATGCCACAAACTACAACTCCTCCAAAAAAATCTAGTTTGACTCCACCCCTTTCTTTTTACCATACAAGGAATTCTTCTCATCTAGTAACCTAACGTACACATACACCCACTTAAGCGGATACACGATAAAACACCGAATAATTGGAAAGTATGGCTACTAACTCGGAATTTACATGATGACTCAAGTATTTGTTTGTTTCATTTTCACGCTTGGATACTACAGAATCTGGGAATTCTCTGGAAAATAATTATGACTCTGTGACCTTAAAAGGCTGAAGACGACTACAATGTAAAACTCCTGCGAACCTTCAATCTGTGAGCAAACTTTGTGTCATAGTTTTTTTTTAATATACTGTATATATTTAGTGTGACTCGCCAAATTCACTGAAAAGGGCTCCACCCATTATATTAAGAATCTGGGATCTTTCCATAATATTGGATGCAAATGAGATCTGTCAGCTCATCCTACAATCTGAAATAGTGACCGTGTTTTACATGTGATGGTGTTTACATAAATCTACATTTGAATACAACACAAGGGTGGAGGAAGCCTTGTAGCACTGGACAAACAAAAGGATAGGAACTGTGTTTTCCATTTGGTGCTTAACTCAATGCAAGGAAATATTCTGTTAACATGGTCCTTCTCATGTTAACACTTATGGAACACCAATGTAAAATAAAGCAAACACATAAAGCGTGTCTTAAAGCATGAAAGTCATTAGTGTATCATTTGAGGTAAAATATTTAAAAAAAAATTCCATAGACAAAACACTGTGTTGGCACTGGCACAGCCCTGCTACTTTAAGGCTTCTACAGTGAACCGGTGCCAGTTTTTAGAGAGGGGAGTGTGCGTTGGCATCATGACATGCCTATAGATATAGCGGTAACACTTTACAATAAGGTTCATTAGTTAACTACATTAGTTAACATGAACTAATAATGAACTGCACTTATACAGCGTTTATTAATCTGTTAATGTTAATTTCAACATTTACTAATACATTATTAAAATCTTGTTAACAGTAGTTAATGCACTGTGAACTAATATGAACATCTGTATTTTTATTAACTAACGTTAGCGTAGATTAGTAAATACAGTAACAAATGTATTGCTCATGGTTAGTTCATGTTAGTTAATATATTAATATAACTAATGGTTAATTAATGAACCTTATTGTAAAGTGTTACCGATATAGCTGCCAAAAACAAGTCACATACTGAATTCATCTATGTGTATTGTTGTGCAAAGTCTATTGTGGTGAAACGCATCCCATTCTTTTGTGAACTTTTCCCTCTCCTTTATTATTTAGACACTTAACAAAACAAAGTGTATATGATTACTGCTTACCCATGATCAAATGAATAAATAACTAAGAAATGCATTTAATGCAACACATTTGACATTGTCATAATATATAAAGCAAACAAACCTCCATTCCCTGACTCAACGTGTAACATTGTTAGTCCGGATCTAAATAAGATCTAATCTAGACTGGATGGGTGAACAGGCTTTGGGTGAGGTATGCCAAAAGGTTTTGCTTTTTCTGTTGTTCTGAACTCAATTCAATAGAATGCAAGGGAATTTTTTGGTTCATAAAATTGCATCACTTCCCCCTTTTGTTAACTTCTTTGGAACACCAAGGTAAAAAAAAAAAACAACCCAGGCTCGTAACACATGTGACGCAACATCATTGCTACACCATATGTAGAAAAATACCCACATTAAATAAAAAGAGCTGTCAATGTGCAAACATGAAGATAGCATTCATACTGCACACTTGATATGATTAGAAATAAAAATGCATAAAAACTTTAAACAATTACCATTGTCCATATCATACTAATTGGCAATAAATAAACATAAATGCATGCCCATTTCAAGTTCATAAATGAAAATGTAGCTCTTATTATTTAGCAATCTACATCCTCTCTCCTGCTAGAATACACTCAAATGTAAAGCTCCATCTACACTATTAAGTCTGCTTTTTCACTTTTATTAATTTTTGTTTGTGTATTGATAAATGCATGGACATGTGTCTTATTAAAGATAATAAGATAAAATAATATCATCAGTCTATCAACAAAAAGTTGTTTTGTTGTTGGACTATGTGGAACCCTTGATCATAGAGTACCGTCACTTTAAAATTCACCTAGAATGCACTCTATACCATTAGACATTGTTTAGGAAATTGTTGTCTATACCAGAAATGTGCATTTTACAAGCCAACACAAGTACGTTCAGTTGTTGTAGTCACCTCAGTTCTGGTGCCCCTTATCACATTCCCATAGTTTGTCAGAACTTTTACAGGAAAGTTTCAATGATTGTGCAATATCTGTGTAAAGCACATAAAATAGTGGAGGCAACAGACAAATCCCATGAGGAAAATAGCTAATTGAGTAAGTGAAGCAATCAATAATTAATAATTAAAAATAATTGCAATACAATGCCATGTCATAGTGCATTGCATAATCCGAGACACAGTAGTGGTTTGTTGACTATGAACGACATGGTGACACAAGCCAGAGAAAACTGTGCCACACCTATTCTAAGTAATCTAAAAAAAATAAAAAATACAAATTAAAAAAGGGGGGGGGAAAACAGTCATGCATGCATGTTTGTCACTTTTCCTGTGACAAACTGCACAACGGAATGTTTTAAAGGTCAAAAATGTTTGCAAAATACTGCAACCAAAACAAAAACCACAATGACATTTAGACTCTTGTTTGTCTAATGGGCCATTCACAAAGAATGCATTTCTGCATTCCACTACACTATTTTTCCACTGTTTTCTTTTGACATGTCATTCTAAAATCACAGCACTCAAATTTGAAGTGTAACTTTTAAAAATCGCATCTCTAGACCCCACGGTTTGTTCTTCATTCCACTGTCCTGCGTCTCACATTTTTTAAACACAAATATGCATTCTGTGTGAATGCCCCCGCCAAATATTTAAGAGCACTTCACTGCAGCTGCTACTTGTTACTTTGTTTAGAACACAGTACCAATATACAGTAAAATCCATCATGCTGTGAGCAGTTTGGACGTTTAAAGAGTTTTAATGTCTTTTAATGGTTATTTGTCTTTTTGCTCCTAAAGAGGCTTCGTCCGGTGTGAAGTCTTCATGTGTCAAAGGGCATTTGTAAAAAAAAAACAACAACTAGTAAAAGGTATTTTATCATACCCTCCATGTTCATTAAGAAATGGCTTCAAGTAAAACATCAATTATATGAAAGCAAAACCAACAATATAATGACTTGTAAAGTACACTCACCCATCACAATATAGCAATGTCTACAGTTACTTTTTTATTTGCGATTACAAATTACTATGCGATTCTTAAGTAATTCTTAAATAATTAATTTGTGCATCATCCAATTAATACATTTCATTTAGATTTGATTGACAGCATGTTGCACCAATTAAAAAGTTCCCGTCTCATGGAAATATGAGGGCTACATTTGTTGGTGGGAACGGCAGCTGTAGACTCTGAGGGTTGAAATTCATGGCACCTTTACATCAGGAGCTGAATGAAAACATACTTGAGTTCTAAGAAAAGAAATTCTGGATGGGGGATGTTTTTGAATGAGATTTGTTTTTATTGGCAGGAAGTATATCAAAGGAACTATTCATGATAATGAATGGAAGTTTAAGTCTGTGCAAGAAAATGACTTAGAACTACAAATAGTGATTTTGTGCACGGGAATATTGCTGCATATTATCTCTCACAAAACACCAGGCAGACTTACCCAGACTCCTCTTTCCAGTTCTCTTTGTCTTTGCTTTGGTGTGTTTTCAGAACCCGCTCCAGCTCCTGAGGACAAGAGAGGGGAAGCTCCTTTACAGTGTGTGGTTTAGTGAGTGATTTTATGTATACATGTACTCAAGTGTGTCATGTCTTTGTATAACAGGTAAGGATTAACAAAGCGTGTACATGTATATGGGACTGTCTAAAAGTTTATGCATGCAGTACCTTTATACATGACACATAGGGTGCATTGTGCTGTAGATCTCCCTCAGACAGAGTGCCCTCTTCATCTGGATTTGGGTCAATAAAGTCATATGGGTCCTGATCTGCACATAATCGGGATTAAATCAAATTGTGGTGTCAATCTTAAATCACAATTATGCAACATAATTACAGAAATACATGACACGCATTTCATATCTTTAACATAAACTGACAACCACCATAATAATGCAGGTGGTAAAAGAGACAGCAATATGAAGAATCAGTTCATCACATGTGGCTTTTCCACAAGCTGAAGTATATACTAATATGTAGAAGGTGCACAGAGTAATTCACACAAACACTAAACACCATCATGGTAACACACGACACTTAAATAATGCAATAAACATTCATTAAACAACAGAAGATGTAACGTAAACCCACATGTACATAACTGGTAGCAAACATGACAAAACTATTAAGAAACAATTATTTAAACAAAATACTTTAAAATGTGGAGTGTCAAGCAGGGAATTCTGGGAATATTCGTTTACAGTTTTGTACTGTAAATTATATGTTGATTTGTTCTTTTTTTACTTCTAAAAATTGTACAATTAACAGCATTTTACTGTAAAATTACATGAAATGTCTGGTTAGATCTTTTACAGTTTTCCCTGTATATAGTATGGGAACTTACTGTTGTTAACCTATTAACAGTTTTTTCCCGTAGCGTTTTTACAATATTTTACACTTAAAATTACACATTTTTTATTTCTATCATTACAACTCTCCAAAAAGTTTTATCAAGGCAATGGATATGACAATGCTAATTTATTTGGTCTTGGCCAAGGTAAACAGAGGTAAAACATTTTTGTTTTACATCCTCAGTAAAACAGTGAGTAGTGATTAGTCAATATTTATGTGACTAATAAAACATAACTAACATTCCTAATGCTGAAATCACACCTTTGTTTGAGTCCAGCTTTGTGAGAAGTATGTGTGTGTCAGCCCGTGCTGTCTCAGACACTTGAGAATGGAGGCTCATGGTGTCATCATCAGATGGCTGTGGAACAGAGCAGAAGAGAGACAGATGCCCTCTGGCAAACTGGCAAAAAGAGATTTACTTCTAGAAATTCAACTGCTACTTGTGTAACTCCCACATAATAGAATTCATCTATCATCCTATAAGATCATTTTTCTTTAACATCCAGGTCAGGCCAGTTTCCACAAGTGGGCCCTACCCACCTCACCCCACCCCAATATCTTGTTTGGTTGCCTGGTAGAACAGTCAAAACATTTTTTTTTACATTTAATCAAGTGACAAACAGCCTGTTTGAGTGTGCATGACTAATGCATGTATATGTGTGTTTACCTCTGTAGTCGACAGTCTTTTGTCACCGTTGTCACTGCCAATACCTGAGTCTGGGCCATGGTTCTTACTTGGATAGAAATCTTCCATACTAAACAAACAAACATATATACATTTAACAAAGACACAAAGAGACACACAACATCATTTCCCTTCACTATACTAAGAGATAGACGAGGATAAATTCAATGAAACGATAAAGCAATATCACACTTAGAAGACTCAACAAGTTAGTGGGCAATTATGTAAATAAATATGTCAATGTGTCCTGAAGACCCCCTTCTGAGGGTGCTCAGCTTAAACAAAAACAAAACACAACTTAATACAAATATTGAATTACAGAATTAAGGGAATGAAAAACATTAAGAAAAAATAGCAAGCATAATATATGCATATACAGTGGGTACGGAAAGTATTCAGACCCCCTTAAATTTTTCACTCTTTGTTATATTGCTATACAAACACAGATGTATACGCATTTACATATATACATAAACATCTAAATGAAATAAGAAAAGGGCACATTTTAACCAGAGCCTGTGTCATTAAAGTAAAGTAAAAATGGGCATCTACATTTTTGTAAATAGATCGGGTTTAATTCTGACTACAAAAATTAATCAATTCCATTTCATGGAAACAAAGAAGCAGCACAATTGTCCAATTATACAACACACAATTATACAATTATATCATAATATTGAGTAATATTGTTAAATAGATTTTGAGTCATTTAAATTAATATTAAAGGGGTCATATGATGCGATTTCAATTTTTCCTTTCTCTTTGGAGTGTTACAAGCTCTTGGTGCATAAAGAAGATCTGTAAAGTTGCAAAGACTAAAGTCTCAAATCCAAAGAGATATTCTTTATAAAAGTTCAGATCTACGTCGCTATGTGGGAAGATTTGCATAACGCCGCCTAAATGTTCACGCAAAGAAAGGCGGCGTAACTTTTATTCTTGCTGTAGTATTGTTGTTGCCGCCGCCACCATGTTATGAAGGCTCTGTGTGTTTTGTTGTGAAAGCGAAACTACTTTATTTGGCCTTCCAAAAGAGGACGATATCCGCTTCGTCATGCCTGGAGCTAATCCGTGCTGGTCGCTGAGGAAATACATCAACTTCGTGCTGTGGATCGCCGGATCGGCTTTCACCGTGGACGAAGCGGAGTCCAGCCCGGGGTCGTCACATGTGGTTGCCACAAGCCCGCTGGACGTTCCTTCGTCAAATCCGCTGGCTGCGCCGATCTCAAGCCTGCTGTGTGTGACGCTGTGTTTCGTTGTGAAAGCGAAACTACTTTGTTTGGCCTTCCAAAAATGGACACGACTAGAAATCAGTGGTTAAGTTGTATTTAGTTTTTTTAACCTTAAATCGCATAAACATTTCATTACACCAAATACACAAAATAATGTTCTTTTTAGCAACGTCATATGACCCCTTTAATATATTAATTTGAGTAACATTTTAACAATTTGTACATTTGTTTTTCCAACAATAAAACAGTTCCAACCGTTGTCAAAGTACATGCCTTCAAGCAACACATAGCAGAGATGTTTCATTCATGAAACTAATGTGTTTCTGAACAAGTACTTTGACTATTTCAAAGACTCATTCACAAAAGACAGTCACTGTTTTCTTATGTGAATGAATCAGTGCTTTTGAACAAATCACTTGAATGAATAATTCAATGACTCACTCTATTGTTTCTTTCCTGAATAAATCAGTGTTTTTCACTAATTGGTTGGGTGAACACAAAGACACTCAGCTGTCGCCACCTACTGGCATATCAATGTAACCTGCAGAAAGTCGCTGTAAAATCGTCACCACTAATGCACAGACTGACAGACAATCACAAACAAGAGGAGTGATAGAAACGGTGCTGATGGACTGTATTTTAGCACTCCTGAAATGCTGCTCGACCAATCAGATTCGAAGACTGGAAGCAACTGTTGTATACAAGAGTTTTTATTCCTGTCTGTGTCGGCATCCCCTATAATTCAATACAGTTTTGCATAAAAAAATATTGTGTACAAATAACTGTAGGCTAAAAAAACCTTAATAACTAATGTGACAGCACCTAGCGCAGGAAATATTATGAAAAACTGGAGAAATACAAAGTGCGGTAATGAGGTGAGTGTGCGGTTACCCACAAATGGTAGATTAAAAATGCTTTTGCAAGTTTTATGTGCATTATCAGTGCAGCAGTAAACACCTGTTCACTTAAAAAAATATGATTGATGGGGCTCTGAAAGTGCTGTTACTCATACTTGTTAAAATATATGCGTGCTTACAAAGTGGCATAGACATGAGAATGAAAGGCAAGGCTGTAGGTACCTGTCTGTCAGCTGCTGAGGCAAGCAGCGTTTTCCCAGAGAAGGCAGGTCAAGTGTGTCTGGTTTTTTATCCAGGCGACATGCCTGCAGGTTTAAATATTTAAAGATGTGGATATTTCCCTTTAGGCAGACCTGAAAGCAAAGAAGAAAATTAATCTCAGAACTGTCAAGGTGGGACAATACAAAACAGCAGAGAAATTACAGCCTCTCTAAAAAGTCTTCAGACTACTTATAAACAGACACACTACCATTAGTTAGAATTATTTTAAAGAAATTAATACTTTGATTCAGCAAGGATGCATTAAAGGATTAGTACACTTCTGGAATAAAAATTGTCTGATAATTTACTCACCCTCATGTCATCCAAGATGTTCATGTCTTTCTTCAGTCGCAAAGAAATTAAGGTTTTTGAGGAAAACATTCCAGAATTTTTCTCCATATAATGTATAAAAGTATATACACTTTTATGTTTTTTAGAAAATGACCAATCGTTTCACTAGATAAGACCTTTATTCCTCGGTTGGGTTCGTGTAAAGTCCTTTGAAGCTGCACTGCAAATATAGGACCTTCACTATAATTGGATTTTGGAAGTCCATTATATAGGAGAACAATCCTAGAATGTTTTCCTCAAAAACCTTAATTTGTTTGCGAATGAAGACAGAAAGACATGAACATCTTAGATGACATGAGGGTGAGTAAATTATCAGGAAATTTTTATTCTGGAAGTTAACTACTTTAAAATGATCAAAAGTGACAGTAAAAAGTTACTTTTTGCTGTATAAAACATTTATTTTAAATTGTAATAATATTCCACAATATATCACCAACCACAACATTTTGAACAGTAGTGTATATGTATACATAAAAATGCATACATACAGACATTATGTTAAGCCAATTCTCATTCTCATGTAAATATTTACATTCTGTGCAATGCAACAATTTATTTAAGATTGGATTTATGTTCATTTCACACAGAAATCTGTTTGTTTCATTAATATAATAATAAGATATATATATAATAATAAAAGTCAACAAAGCCATAGACTGGTGTCTACCTGTACGTGCACACACTTCCTCTCTGGGGGTATTGACAAGTAATTTCCAAGGAAAACTATACATTCTGTAGATAATTTCAGTAACAGGAAGGACTGGCTGTCCTCCAAATCTGCGTGTCGCAGCAAGACGAGCCATAGTAAAAGATCTTTGGTTATCAACAGAGATTAGGTGTTCACACTTAGTTATATTCTTTACAAGAACCAACTCAAGCCTCTTTCAGCGAACACAAAAAAATATTTTCCCCATTGTTTTTGTTTTTATGATTTTCATTGTAATTATCATCAAAAATGTTAAATAAATCAAGAAATATATTGTAATGATATTATACTGTAAAAAATGTATTTAATAAAATAATATAAATATTATTTAACAGTAACAGTAAATAACAGCAACAGTAAAACTGTACAATTATAATACCAAAATTGACATATTAATTTCTTCCTTTTCAAACATTAAATTATCAAGCTTTTTAGTGTTTTTTGGCACTCTGAAACTGCAGCACATTTATTTAATTCAATTGCAGCCTTAGCCATACTATGATATTGACTTAAATTAATCTACCAAATAAATTATAAGTTACACAAACAGAAACGGTAACACTGATAACACTGTAATACTGTATCCCAGTCAAAGCCTTTTCCACTGCAATTCATTTGACCACAGGCGTTATGCACTCTTTTTGTGGTTTTTTGCGTTTGTGTGGTATATCTTTTATTTTTTTTGAGGTGATTATTCTTGGCTCATGTGGCACCTTAGGTGAGATATGAACAAAGCAAAACACCATCATCATTATTGCATCAATACACCTGATATTTTAGGGATTTTCCATTGGCAGCCACTGGATGGCGCCAACAGAAAATAAATAAAGAACAGACAGTAACATTAAAAAATCTTCAGCTTCAGCTCAATACATGTGAAGAGATAGACAGCAACAGACGAGTACAGACACACCTGGGCAGGAGGAGACTGCATGGGGTTGTTGTCAAGAATGATGTGCTGTAACTGCTTAAGTTTGCGGTAAGATATGGGAATCTCAGTGATTTTATTACAGGAGAAATCCAACCTGATCAACGGCAGATCGGACCACTCTGTGAGAACGAAAATAAAGAAATATATAATGAGAATTTCCATCCTAACTCATAGTATTAACATAACTAGTATACACACTAAATGTGCTTAATGTCAGTGTATATACAGTAAAGATTTTGTCGTTTTATCTGACTGATGCTTTTGTTGACATATCTGTGTTGTGTATATGTCTATACCATCTGGTAACACTTGTAGACAATTTCTTCGTATGTTAAGTTCTCGTAACGCGAGGAGTTTCCCCATTTGAGCAGGAAGCACCTGGATCTCATTACAGCTGATGTCCTGAACATAGGAAACACATATACTGTAAACAAACGTCACAGAAACACAGACATTAGTATATACAATACAATCACGCATGTATTTCCACACACTGACCAATTCCATGAGGTCTTTGGCCTTTCCGATATCTTCAGGAATAGATGGGAGTTTATTGTTGCTGACCACCAGTACTTTCAGAGGAAGATTGAAGAGAAACTTGGGGAGAACGGACAGCTGATTTCGACTGAAAACACAAGGATTGGATTCAATAAATACACATTTCATCCTCTTATCATTTTCTCTAATGAGAGAACCCACAGAACAACTGAAATCAATTAAACCCCTTACAGTTGCTGGATGATAGCAACTACCATTCTGCAAAGGACTCTTGTGTCTCTCATGAAAATAAAATAAAAACAGTAATATTGTGAAATATCATTACAATATTAAAATAACTGTTTTCAATTTGAAAACGTTTTAAAATGTCATTTATTCCTGTGATGAAAACGCTGCATTTTCAGCACCATTACTCCAGTCTTCAGTGTCACATGATCCTTCAGAAATCATTCTAATATGCTGATTTGCTGCTCAAGAAACATTTTCTATTATTATTAATGTTGAAATCAGTTGTGCTGCTTAACATTTTTGTGGAAACCTTTCAGAATTCTGTGATGAATAGAAAGTTCCAAAAAACAGCATTTATTTTAAATAGAAAACTTTTGTAACATTATGTAATGTATTTATTGTCTTCAAATACCTTGAAGTCAAACATGCTTAAATTGTAATAATATTTGACAATGTTATTGTTTTTACTGTATTTTTGATTAAATAAAACATTAGAACAATAGTGTTCAATCAGGGTTTAAAACTACTTGATTTAAATCCATTTCTATGAGTCCACGATACATTTAAATGCAGTTTCATTTAAAAGACTTTTTTTTTTTACAGCTTGAACAACGATAGATGGCATGGAAGCCAGAGGCCAAGGTAGTCTTAGAAATAGATCAGTATAATGAGATGTCAAAGTGAGTTAACATATAAAGACATCAGAGTTGTCACGATACGCTACTGTGAGGAGCACGGAGCGAGGAACGAGGAGACGTGGCGTAGACTTCAAACAGACTTTAATTAACATCCATGGAACCAGGAACACACGTAGCAGGGAAGGACGAACAATACTGGACAAAGAAACTAGGAACCAAACTCACATTAAATACACTTGACTTGACGAGACACACCTGGGAGCAATAAACAATCAAACACATGGGAAAACTAGGTCAGGGCAGGCACATTGAGGAGGAAAAACACACAGATAGAGTCCAGGGGCGTGACAATAGTGTGGGTATTACCTGATGTTCAGGTAGGTAAGCATCTGTAGGTTGATAATGGCCTCTGGAACCATCTTTATGCAGTTGTGGTAGAGGTTTAATGACTCCAGCGGCGCAAACATACAAACTTCTGGAGGGATTTCACAAAAATGGTTTTTCGACAAGTCTAAAAAGAAAAAAGATAATCAGATAAGTTTAACACACCAGATGAGATCAAAAGAAAGATACAGAGACATATTTACAAACTAATTATGCATGCTAGTGTACCACACATCCAAACAAAAAGTTTGAAGCCCTGTTACTCAGGACTACTGTCTACAAGAGAAAGAATAATTGATTTATTGGATAATTAACTGGTTGATTAGTCTGATCTATAGGAGTTTCACCTTATCAGACATTGACAAAGCAGCAGTGTAACACACACACACACACACACACACACAGAACAAGAGAGAAAGAGCAAATTGGGGTTATTGATTTGTTAAGGCAGTACATATAATTCAGATGCAGTGAGAAGAGCTCTGTCACTAGCTTTGCTTATGTGACACCTAATATTAAAACAGCTGAGATTGAAGACAATGAAATGACATGAAAACGTGGGGAATGTGACCACACAACCCCATGTTGTGTTTTACATTGAGCAAATGGGTATTTAAATGCAACTACACAACAGTTAGTTCTAGTCCTTGAATCTGATTGGTCGAGCTGATATACAGTCCAACAGCACTGGGAGGTTTCTTTGTATGCGTCACTGTACTTGACTGTGTTTGCATGTTCAAGACAGACTGTCAGTCTGGGGTTTTTCAGTGACTCTTCCTGCCGTCGTTATGCCAGTAGGTGGCAACAAGTGACTTGAATTATTCTCCACTGATTTGTTCAAAACCACTGATTCATTCACAAACCAATGTGTGTAACTCAGTGGTTGATCTTACTTTGGCTTCACATTGGGACCATTTTGACTGGAAGAAAAAAGAACGGTGTATGAAATATCAGCCCTCATCCTCAAATCGACATCAATCTCAAGCTTCAACCAATCAGAACTGAGTTATCATTACCATAGTGTTGCCATGGGAGCAGACATGCATGCAGAAGAAAAGTCATGTCAACTTCCTCTATCATTTATACCCTCTTTGAAAAGAGAAAGAGTGTATGTGAGAGAAATATTAAAGAATGTAGCTATGTCAAAGCAGACAGAAAAAGCAGTAAGACAAACAGAAAGGGATTGATTTCATTTTAGAGACCTTTTGAGCACATTACATATCCAGGGCTCGACGCTTACTTTACTTTTTAGGAGCACTTGTGCTCCTAACTTAAAAATTTAGGAGCACGTTCAAAATTTTAGGAGCACCTTCTAATCAATAATCCAAAATTTTATCAAAAAGTATAGCCTTCCCATTACGAGGTAATATTTGACTCCTCTAACTTTATAAAAAGTATGTCATCTTTTGTCAAATTCTTAAAAAAAGTATATTTTATAAGCTTTTTAAAAATTGTAATTAAAACGACAGAATAAGAGTAGAATAAGAAAAGTTAAAAATCAAACGAAATCAGAACACAGAAGGTACAGAAGAACACAAAAGTGGCTTGATGTACTTTCAGACATTTAATGAGGTTCAGAAGTGGAATGAGTGCAATTAAATCCATAAATCCATGATGATATTAATGTTTTAAATATCAAATTTTGAATATAGAAATATTAAAATATAACTTACAATAGGCGCGTTTCCATTACCCTTCAAATTGAACAAATTGAAATTGCGAATTGAAAATACGCCTAATGGAAACGCGTCAATTTCGCAAAAACGGCCATATATCGCAAAAAAGTTTTTACGCTCGCATGAGGTGGTTTTTCAGGCAATGTGAAAAAGGATTAATTCGCAAAACTGCAATGGAAACGGCTTTTTCGCATTTACAGGTCACATGGCGTATGTAAAAAGTCATATGATCATTCTTCAATGTACTATAACCTCCAAGAAACACTTCATACGTGGCCGCGCTCCAGTATAAGGGGCTTTCCCTACTATTAATGCTTAGACAATTTACACTGCACATGTCTGCGGTGCAGTGTGGCTCTGATACGGCCACTGAAGCTGATTACGGCCACTCAATGCTTGTGTTTATGTTTTTATACAGGCTGTGGTTTATTCCAGCCTCGCCACGCACGTTTCTGAAGCGGCTCTCTTTGCTGCTTCTGTAAAGATACACGCATAAGCCTCCTTTGAATAAATATAGCCAAAATCCCACCAAAATCCGTTGCCATGATTTATCGCGAGAGGCAAAAGGTTACGTTTTAGCCGCATAACATTTCGCAATACTTTTTTTATCAACATCGGAAAATATCGCCAAAGTTTTGCGCAAATCTGTAATGGAAACGCGCCTAATGACTTACAAAGATACATAACAGCTACAAGTGTATGCACTACTTGCTTTATGCAAGCACTATATAGGATAAATCACTATACAGGATTTACCCTATTATACTTTATCGACACGAATTGATAGGTGAAACAACAAACAGCCACCCACACACAAATAGTCTATAAACAAAGCATCAGGCTGTCGTTGACTTTACATAAAAACGGTAAAAGTTACTCATCGTCAGGCTACAGAAGAATACCATAATTCCTCCGTTCAATTAGGCCTAAGACATCGAGAGTCACGCAGACCTATAACAACCCAGCCACAACACATAATTGCAAATAACATGCCTTACCTTAACACAGAATCGACCACAGAGTCCAACGTTTATATTTTTTCTACGAATCTTTGAGTTAACGTACTAAACATGAGTGGAATTTGCACCGCAGCGCCCCCACACCTTGATGCTCCTGACAAGAATAGCATGTATAGTTATCTTTATTGAAGTGAATTGGGTTTAAATCGCCATCATGCATGAATGTTATTTTTGCAATTTTACACATAATAATCCACGATGACCACATTACACAAAACTGAAATTGCACGTCAAAATAACACATTGTCAATATTTTTTGAGACCCCCCCCAAAATTTCACAAATCACGTTTTCGGGGGAGCCCATGTCTTATTAAGGGGAGCCGAGCTCCCCCTAGCTCCCCCGTAGTTCGCACCCTGGCCCCCTCCCTCCGAAGCTTCGAATATTCGGTGTTGATTTCTACCGAAGCTTCGAAGCTCAAAAAATGGTATTCAGACCCAGCCCTATTATCCATATCTTCAGGAGACTTCAGAAGATGCTTTTGCTAAACTAACACAATACAACAAGATTAAGCTGTTAGCTAACAAGGCATTTAAAAGGTACTTTAGTTCAAAAACCTGTAATATTGAGTTAAACCAACCCAAACCAACACATTCTTACCTGTGAAAGTTGATTAAAATTTAGGTAGCTTTTACAAGCAGATGCTGCACAATGCATCTTGAAACTCATTGATTTTTATTGTGAGTGACGACATATAGACAGTTCCAAGATGGCGGACGCGTCAACGTATCGGGAGAGGTCGAATGTGGAATCTACCTATAAATATCTATGCTGGCAACTATTACAGACTGAAGCAGTGTTGCCTGGCAACTGTTACAAACCCAAACTGTGCTGACTCCACCTCAGACATTCCTCTTGAACAACCTTCAGTAGGCTGATAAGACAGCAGAGCAGGTGGAGCATGCTCATGTTAGTTCAGCAGCCGGGCTTCAACACAGCTGCATGTCAACAACAAGGTCGTACATTATCAACATTATTCACACATTTCTGTAACATATGGACAAATCGGACACATTATTATTTGTTATATTTAACAAATAATCCAACAGACCCCTCACCCAACAATCGGACTGGGTGCCGGGATGTCTGTGAACCAATGTTCCCTCGAATTGTTTTCTTGCTGAGCAAAACTTTTTTTGGCCTTATTTCGGCCACCTGAGCAAAAACATTATGTATATCAGACCTGTACAGCGCACACACAAAAAAGTGTGAAACTTTTAACTTGAATGTGCTATTTATATTTTATTTGACTCTTGATGTAACTAATTGATGCACATTTTAGGTTTCCTGAGAAAACATTTTTACATTGCTGTTACTTACCAAGAAATTCTTTTAAAAAAATCAAGTAAAAACTCATGCAGAAGTTAAATTCTTTATTATAATATAATATAATAATATGAAAAAATGAAGCAGTTATTGCTCATGAATTGTGCCCATCATCCGCTAATTCCACCACTTAATCAAGCCACTCTTCTTTAAAACATGATGATATTTTATTTCACGTCACTGCGTTTGCATTAGCTCTCGTGCTGAGCTATTTCGTCCGCAACTACTAAAGTATTCGATTTCTACAGCGACTCATTTGGCGCACATCATTCTCTTTCTATGAAACCTGCAAACCGCATTCACCAGTTCTATTGCGACACCAACTCTACAGCGGGTTGTGAAGGGACATGTGGCCAAGTATGGTTACCCATACTAGGAATTAGTGCTCTGCATTTAACCCATCCTAAGTGCACACACACAGCAGTGAACACACACCCAGAGCAGTGGGCAGCCATTTATGCTGGGGGTTCGGTGCCTTGCTCAAGGGCACCTCAGTCGTGGTATTGAAGGTGGAACACCTACAATTCCTGCTGGACCGGAGACTCGAACTCGCAACCTTTGGGTTATGAGTCCGACTCTCTAACCATTAGGCCACGACTTCCCCATGTTTGTCCGAGCATTGCAATTATTTTGCATTTACTAGAACTCAAATTAAATCTCAAATAAAATCAAATGGCTTCCCCAACTCATTTCTGCACCTGTCCTTTGTACAGCATATTACTTCTTTAGCGCGGTCTGAAGTGCGTGCAGCTTAGAGGGAACATAGCTGTGAACGACCCCCCAGGACACTGGTTACCATGGCAGCCAGGATACCTCAGCCAGATAAAATAACTTTTGTGGCCCCATGGAATTCCGAGTTTTACTCTCACTTAAATCACTGTGAAACAGACACATACTGCCTACAGATGCTTTATGATAGAATTATTACATGATGTAACCCTATTGGTGCCACTTTTGATATCAAAATAACCCTTGTTTAGTCCACCACCCACTGGTGCATAACATGTCCTCATAACATGCTCGTTATATTAATCAGAGTATACGGGACACAAACTGCCTGCCCACTCTGATCATGCAAATGAGCCAGCTTTCAAACAAAGGGTCATA